TCATTCCTGCTGCACTACAAAAGTCTGGAGGTGAACCATAGCTTGCAGTTTGCAGTTTGTCCTAGCTGCCATGTGGCAGTCTGGTACTACTAAGTAGCAATCATTACACATTACACTGCTCAGCAAAACAAGCAAATTGCTTCCTCTCCATCCTTCTGCAACATACCAGAGACACATTCAGAGGCACCAGAGGCCACAGTAGTCTCAATTCATTCATGGCCAATCCACACAAACCATATCTTTTATGCATAACCATTTTTTTAGCATTTTATATTTTCCTATATCCATATTTGTCATCTCTCTAGGTAGTCCATACCTCAGTGCAAGAATAATATAAGTAATTTTCATTTGTCATCTTTATTTTATATTTTGTAATATTCAATTTTCTGTAATATAACCTGTGCCACTGGTCTCAGTGGCCAGAAATAGGATCTTGAGCATAAAAATAGCATCCTCCCTGGAGCTGGTACTATTACAGTCATGGCACACGGATGGTACATTTCACACTCATTTATCAATGAAAATAATGCAAAGGCCCCTTCCTAAATGCTAAATGAGTCTAATCACCCTTCAAGAGGTTTGTGTTGCCAGATTTCCCCATGATGGCATGTTCACATCATGTGAACATATTTTCATGACGTTATGGTCACGTCATCCAGATGGTAGGGGTTAAGGAGTGAGGCAGGATTGTGTTCTTGCACTAATGCCTTTTAACACTGACATGGACTGGATAATGGGCAGTACTTATATCCAAAGCTAAAGGTGTATAAATCCATTATGATGCCAGTTAAGGAGTATGATGTGTTGTTAAGGTAACAGATTTCAGTGTATCAATTATAATCAAACATTACATTATTGTGCTACAAATATGGAGTTTATTTTTTTTTTTTTACATCCTAAATTATCCTTCATGCCTTCAATCATTATGATCAGGATCATATCTATTGTAGGTCTGTGCTAATTAACAGCCATAAAAGAAATAATAAATATATTTGCAATATACTAGTACCTACTAGTGACTTACAGAAGTTGCTAAATACTAATTAATAATTTGTAAAATAAGATAAAATAAATATTTAGTCACTGAAAATATACTAGACTTCTATCCATCTAGCAAGAGCATTTGGAGATGCCGGTACCTATGCACGAGGACCAAGCTATGCGTATTCAAGGCCTTGATACTGAGTTTTGCTTTAATGAAGTGAAAACTGGATGCTGTCTAGTGCCTTAGAGTTGTCTTGATGCCTTTATAACTGTTCTTGCACTGAATCATGGGTTATAGTTAGCAGGGCCATGCATCCAACCGACAGTTACATCATGAGATCAGCACAGGTTGGCACAGGACCTGTTACCTGCATAATCCAGGCCCATCAACTCAGCCAATAAGGGCACCAACTTCCCTGTGGATGACTTTGCTTATCAGGTTGTCTCTTCATGAGACAGTCTCCGGTGGAGGAGGCCTGAGGAACAACCTAGGAAGTTATGGCTTATGGAGATCAACCTCACCTATCATGAGGAGCTTGGCAGCTCACCATGACCCTCATGGCTGGAAGTGAAGGGTGAATACGACTATGTGCAGAAAGTGAAGTTGAGCCAGTCACCCAGGGAGGCAAAAATACATGCCACATACAGAGCAATTTTAGTTTAATAAATGTGTCTACACATAGATGGCTCCATAAGCACTTAGTTACCAAGGCGTCAATTATTAGTCCTACCTATTTCACCTGCATACCCTTTTCCTATAATATCAGGTAGATTCTTATCATTTTATCATCTTTTATTTATTTGTTTTTCATTTTATTGAGTTAACAACATTATAATAATCATAATGTCAATAATAATAAAAATAATAACAAAACCAATATCAATAGTATTAGAAAGAAAGAAAGAAAAAAAAAAATCCTTCAAATTCAAGGAATAGGGAAATCAGGTGCAGTACTTGGGCTTACTAATTGACTCCTTAAGAGAATAAATGTGTAACAGCAGACACTGATAATTAGCCAAATGTCGTTTTGACAAGCACATAGTAACACATGAACTACTTTGGATATCGCAGTAATGTGTAAACAGTCAGTGTTGTATTATTCTAAGCAAGGTAAACAAGAAGTGGGACTTAGAATCTAAGTGGCGATAGCAATGTATAGTTTCGTCATTTAGCGGTAACTATGAGGCCACTGCAGCTTAAACTATATTCTATCCTATTCCCATCTTCTGCTCTATAAAATGGTGGTGTCCATTTCCCTCTATCACTGCGTGTCGTTCTCTTTAACTTTTACCCAACCCATTACTTATTCTTCTTATTATTGCGGAGTTATAGACTCCCTAAAGAGATGATATGGAGTCTGTGCAAGGAAAACAGTCTATCAGCATCTGGCTAAAGTAAATCAAAAGGCAAATATAGATACTGGTAACTGACAAATAAGCTAAAAACACTTCTTCCGAAAAAGACAAAATAACATTGCAAAAAGGAGGCATGGAGTCTTCTCAGTTCTTTTGCCCCTGGCATACAAGCCGGACACCCGGCACAGTGTCAGATCATGTAAGCCGAATGCCTTCATTTAGGTCCACATGATGGCAGTGAAGCATCTGGATCCAGAAAACCAAATTGTGAGTCTGTCTTCACCTGAGTATGGCCAGCAAAAGCTGAAACTTGGAGTACCAAGACTTAGGGTGTACACGGCACTTTCCATTATGATTTTCCATTATTTGTGATATTACCATTCATGTTTAGATTATTTCTTGTACTGACAACTACAACTTTTTGTCCTCTACAAGGATATAATCTTCAATTTGCCCTAGCTTAGTACATCCATACCACAGATATTAACCCATGACCCTATTCCTGCCTGCCATTACTGGCAGCACAGAATGTATTTTAGAAAACTGAAAAAGAATAATAATAAAAAAAAAAAAAAAAAAAAGTCACAGATTGCATATTGTGTAAACTACCTGAGGAGATTATAGACCTCGGAAAATGGCTAAACAATGAAAGTGAGTGTCTTGATACCATGCAAAAGTGTATGTGCAGGCCAGTCTATGCATCGCACATCTAGGTAAGTTGCCATTCAAGTCAGCCTAACGTCTAAATTTAGATGTGCCCGGATTAAATTTGTTAATATAGTGTTGGAAAGAGAGAGATTAGACGTGTTTGCTCTTCCCCCACAACATAGGTGAAGTTCCAATAAAACATTGTTAATGCTGCGTTCGAAACTCCTCGTCTTACCTCATCAAGACAACTTGTCCAGGACCAGCAGGACAACAAGGTCGCATTCGGAACCTCCAAAACCCTCGCTGCCCAGAATGCAACCAGCTCAAGAGTAAACACTCACTCTTTTATCAAGCCGATGTCTTTATTTTACATGCTGCATAAAGTTTGTAACTCCTTTGATGTATATTTAACTTACCTGCAATTGACACACAAAAATATCCTTTGATAACATCAATAAAGGGCCATAAATTACCCATCAATATCTTGTGGTTGCCTGCAACTGTCAGTGTTTACATACAAATACTATTGTGACATCATCTCGTCCTGCTCCCCTAGCTTTGTAGGAGGGCAAGATGGACAAGTTGAACAACTTGTTCAGGAGGAGAAAGTACAGGTTCTGAAAGGTCAAAACATTTTGTCCAACTTGTCTGGATAAGCAGGACGTGGAGTTCCAAACACAGCATAAGATTAATTTAGTCTTCCTTTCAGCATTATTGAACACTTTCATTGGTAGGCATTTACATAATGACTGCACAAAGATAACGGAAATCTTAAAGACACTTTAGAAAGTGGGGAAAAACTACACAAACTGATATATGTAATATGCACAGGCAAAGAATAACATTAGAAATGACAAAAATAGGTCATGACAAATATTATGAGGAGACTAAGTCCATGGTGATCAGGTTGCGGTCAGAAAAAAACTCCCAAAGCCTCCAAGTTAAGAAGTTTTTGGTTCAAACACAATGTCTGTGGATTCCAAGAGTGCCTCCAAGGTTGTAGGCTGGAGTAATGGGGACTAAATATCAGAGGGTGCAGTCTGGTAAAGACATTTAAAATATGGTAGAGACCTGCAGTCGTCCTGAAGGCTGACCCACTTTTACTATTGAATTATAAGCTTCCCTAGATATGAACCCCTATTCATGTTGGCAGATGTAGAAAAAGTATGCATGAGAATGAATGAATATCTTCACAATACAAGAGATGTATATGACCGGTTTTAAAGATATTCATCCTTATTTATGCCTTTTCTCTATTTGGCCTCTTCCCTGAAGGAACTGAATCCATCAACGTTCCCATTCCATGTAGTGCTTACCTTGTACTTCAAATCAGTTTGAGACAAAAATTATGCAGTGAAATGACTCCCCTTTTTCCTATACAAGGCTTTCATAATGAGCTTAAAAACTGAATTCATACGAAACCTCGTTCCTAAAATTAGTTGCTCGGAAAACATTTTATGTATATAGGCCGTTAAAAATCTATCTCATAAACAAATTGTCTTGTCCTTTGTCTAAAATTGCACAGCAGAATCTCATGATTTAATATTTCTATTAAAGCCAGCGATACAACACTTAGAAACAGCTCTACGGGTGTATTTTTCATGAAACCACTTACTTAAATCAGTTTTGTTTATGTTGTGAGAGCTGTGTGAAAAGGATCGTCAATCTAAAATAATGTGAAGCTGCAGAGATGCGCTATATAAAATTACTCACTGCGCATTAGCCTTTTCTGTGCTTATAAAGAGATCAATCATGAGTTAATTTTCGCTTGATACTGTTCATTTGCACATATGATGAACGTTTAGCATATCTCAAATTGAAAAAAAATCTCGATATATGGTTTATTCCCCGTATGTCTTTACCTGCCAAAGCAGAGAACAAAGAAAAGACAAAAAGAAATTATCATTTACAGATTTCAAAGATCAGGTAAAAGGAGAGGAAAGATATTCATTGCATCTGATTTCCGAAAAAAGCGAATACTCATACGCTAACAAAAATATAGAGAAAATTAC